TCTTCCTCACGTAGACGCGTACATGACTGGTTTCAGCGAACTCTGCCTTGCGTGTGTAACTCTCGAGTATCCGAAGTCTGTAGCTACTGCATGACTGACGTCTGAATACTGACGGTGTGCGATTTCTGCATGACTTCGTCACTTTACTCAACTCTTAACGCGACCCCTAAGTGCATTACGCTAATATAAACACTCCCTTGGCTTCGAAAAGTTACTATTAAAAACGTGATGTTCTAGCATTCTAAGGCATTTCTTGGACTCGGTTTAAGTCTCTTGCCAGACGTTAATGCAATATATTCCTAGCAAGTCTCTTTCTTAACTTCTGAACCTGAGTTCCAGATGCAGTGCACATCTGGAGCGATAGAGTACATTGCCAGGAAGTCGGGAAATAAATATAAATGAAATACGGTTATATATAGTGAATGAGTTGGGGCTTAGCTATGAAAGCATCATGAATATCCACAGACCATGCACATACACAGCCATAACCCACTCCTTTCACTGGTCCTAATCTCGCAGCTGCACATTTTCTCCAGCCACGATAAGATGCTTCATGTTCCCGCTTCTTCTGGCCATCATGAGCTACCTCAGAACTCAACGCACGGTGTGGTCAGGATTATGGACTTATAAGCTCAGGCTATAATGATTGCTACTTTACATGACATGAACACGGGTTTCCAGAAATGAAACACTTCTTTTTTGTCCAAGTTATACTCACACAGTTATGGTTGATTCCACAACTGTGACGCGTTTGATTAAAAATAATGTTTTGGAAATTATTCATGAATTGATTATTACAAGGTTTCTTCGCTGCACTTGGCGATCGAATGGGTCGCAAGTATAAGGATTGAGCGTTTTTTTCTTCTTCTTCTAAGCAAAGAATCAGCAAATACGCATAATGTGGTGTGCTAGCATCCATGCTAATGTCACAAGACTTTTTACTCATTTCGTTTCCTACTTTCAAAGTCAACATGATTGACAATGAAGATAAAAGAAGGCGGAATTTTTCTTCTTGCGATGATCTTTAAATTAAGAATGATACACTCGAACTCGAACTCCTGCGAGCGACGACTCGACTCGTGTGTGTACGGTATATACGATACGTACGATCCATTTCAACCTGCCACTTTGCACATAATAATAATAATAATAATAATAATAATAATAGAGATGTGTCTACATACAGTTCGAGTAAAATCGAACAGTGTGGCTGCACCACGAGTAGTACTGGACCATATAATTAGCTTCGCAAAACTCGCTCTTTCGCCCACCGGAACAACAGGACGTGATTAATTTGCTTGATTCGCTCTGACGTATCGTGAGATATGCGTTTCCCAGAGTATGGCATTTAAATTTAATAAGAACTGTGGGTCAACATGAACCATCAATTAATCAACTCTCTCGCAGTGAGCAAGAGGAAAAATACCCCCCCACAAAAACACACAATTAACATTGTGACACGTTATTAGAAGCACGGGTGGCTTTAGTAGAAGTGTACGATTTAGCAAAGATTCCTACCGAAAAAAAAAAAAATCCCAAAAATAAAACAGGTTCGTGGGAGCTCGACTGTCGTTCGGGCTCGACTGGTCTCCGCTTTGTCGATGAAACGCTATTTTCGGGTGCCGCCATTGGAAAAAGGAAAGCATGACGAATTGCGATGTCAGAGAGTTATTGGATAAGCAATGTGTCAGGAGCATCTGTCTGAATTTCTTTGATGGATAGATTTCCCCTGAAGAGGGCCTGAAATGCTGGGTCACAAAATTTGTTTTATTTAAAAAACGATTTTTTTCCCTCCTTCAGTGATGTTATCTAATGTGTTTTCCGGAGAATTTTCGAAAGAATGGATCTCAGGGCTTCATCACAACACCCCACTGTTGGTTATTTTCCGACAGCACTATGCCCTTCAAGTGTTTTATTCATTCCTTATTCTCATTATGAAGCCTTGCGCTTTAACGCTGGCGTATTTTTATGGCGATACTATCCAACCACTTGTAAGAACATCTTGAGGTCTCGAACTTTTGAACCCAACTGTAAAAACAAAGCCGCTGCTAATGATTGTGTGTATTTATCACAGCTTCAGAACAAATCCATCCATTAGCTTTTGCTCACCTCAACTGGTAATAAAAAAACGAAAAGAAGTTCTACTCACGCAGTTGTACGATGTTAGCACTTTTCTTTACAGCTTTTTGTTTTTAAAGTATCGTTGCTGTTGCTTGTTTTGGTCTGTCAAGTAGAAATACTGAGAACATTTCAACATGTACTGTAAACGTTCACACTTAAATGGGAATTCTTTCGGCCCGTCGGTGGACAATCGCCATTAGTCAGGAGAGTAAATCAGTTCAGCACCAGAAATTAGACACACCATCTTTTTTGCATTGCAATTTATTTATTTTTCCCCCCTGAAGAGGACTAATTAAGGGAATCGGCGATCCACGTTCTTTAAAGGAACACGTCTTGTTTCTCTGGAGGGAAAACTTCAAGACAAGTTGGCTCCAAGAAACTGCCACTTGGCTTTGATTTGTCAGAATAAGAACTTTTAATAAGAGCGTAGTGCATTGGGGTGAATTGACTGAATTTATAACGCTTTCTATATGATCACATTCATTATTTGTTATAACTGCTTATAATTCTTTACAAATTGTTAATAATTGAAAAAAGGAATCATGTGAAAGTACTAGTTCTCATTTGGCAAGTCTTTCTGTGAAGGCAATATGTATAAAAGGACTCTCCGTCGACAGCCAGGTGAGTTACGGCTTCCGTAAATCTCCTAATGGATGTGTTCTGTTTCAAACAGAAGATGACTACGCTCCCTGGTAGCTGCCACGACGTGCTCCGCAGCCAACTCTGTGGGACCCTGAAATTTTTTTTTTTATAAATAAATAAGAATAATAGTCACCCCGTCTGCACCTGATTTTGTCTCCTGTGTGTCTGGGCTCATCCTGCCGCTGGGTAAAAGCGCTCCAGTGGTGGAACAAGGACAGCCCGACCCACACGGACCCAAATGGATCCCATGCGACAACATCAATGTCTTGCCCAAGGATACTCAGGCATGTGGAGTCATCCAGGCCGGGAATCGAACCACCAACCCTACGATTGATGGACAACCCGCTCTACCACCTGCGCCACAGCCGCCCATCCAAACGCAGAGAAGAAATATCTGACACTGTGGTGGTCTCCAAGACAAAGACCCAGTTATTGATGCACCTGGTCTATGTCCACCCACCCGGGGGAAACACCAGGGGACACGAAACATGCCTGTAACAGCCCGGTAAGAGAACAGACATGAAAATATACCATATAAAAATGCTTTGCCTCTGCCTTTACCACGAACGTCCACTGACAGTACTGGATTCTTCCATTTGAACTACATGGAGCGCCTGCAACATTCCAAAAACTGATGGACAATATGCTACACAAACATCGCACATTTGCAGCTGCCTAGTGATACACTCCTCCACTTGGTTGGACCACCTGTTCCAAGTCCTGAAAGAGCTCATCCAACCCCAAACAATTTTACCTGGGGCTGCCGGAGGCAAAATACCTGGGGTACGGTATAGGCCAGGGCCTTCTAAAACCCCAAACGAAGACTGAACACCCCCGGCATACATCAAAGAAACAGGTACATGCCTTTTTGGGGCTGGCAAGGTATTACCGTAGGTTTGTGCCTTACTTCTCCTCTCTAGCCGCCCCGACTGTATCTGTGCTCATCCCGCTGCCGGGTAAAAGCGATATAATATATATATATATATATATATATATATATATATATATATATATATATATATATATATATATATATATAAATATATATAGTATAATTGAAAAAAAAAATGATTAAGAGTTCTGAGCAGTGACAGCCACTATAGCTTTACAAAGCATTATTAGAGCTTCTAAAAAGTTTATAAAGCATTCCATTTCAATAAAAGCGTTATCCAGCCAAGAATCATGTCTACATGAGATCAGAAGCACAGCTGCTGGCATTCTCTCCAGCACTTTAAGAGACAGATGCAACAATATAATATCTAATAATGAACTGCACACTTACTTCCAATGTGGAGAAAATATTGATTTATGCAAAGCCAAGCTAATAAAGCGCATTTAAACCCGCGAGACACATTTGGAAAAAATGTGTTGTGTACATTTTAAAGTCCGCCGCAATTTCATCATCTCCAAACTGGTCAAGGTCGACTGCATTATTACATTCATCTGAGGACTGAGAAGGGTGCTTTTTTCTTTTCCTTTTCTTAGCGTTCTGTACTGCTATTTTTTTTCTTCCATTAATATCTGACATGTTGTGATGAATAGTGCATCCTACCAAGCTGGGATTTTAAGTAACAGATTAGCCATCCTCAGTCTTTCATTTTAAAGTTATTTGGCTCTCAGACACTAAAAAGGAGCTCTGGTTCTATTTCGGTCTCCATTAGACGAGCTAGGAACCAACATGCAATTTCCTGTCATCCGTAAAAGGCTCTTCAGACAGACCACCAGGTTCTAAAGCAGGCGTGACGTACCGCGTAAAGAACAAAACCTAGCTATTTTTGAGGAGCTTATATCTGATGAAACTATTATTCGTTTCCTGGTCGTGGATTTGATTTCATAATCATGACTTTCTTTGACATGTAAAATCGTGGATTTAGGAGTGGACTACGAAGATCCACACAAAAAGAACTCGAGTCGTTCGATTCAAGTGTGTTTCGATGTGAGCGGATGTGGATCGGGTGGTAGAGAGGTTCGATTCCCGGCCCACGTGACTCCACATGCCGAAGCGACCTCGGGCAGGACGCTGAACCCCAGGGGGGTTCTTTGTCACTGGAGGCTATCCTGGGGAACTCGGGGCATGACGCGGGGGACACCCTGGACGGGGTCCCAACCCATCGCAGGGCACAATCACACACGACGGACAATTTCGAGCTGACAACCAAGCTACAACGCATGTCTTTGGACTAGGTGAGGAAACCGGAGTACCGAGAGGTATCCTCCGAAGCACAGGACGCAGCGCACACAGGAAGGAGGCGGGAATCGAACCCTCAACCCTGGAGTTGTGAGGCAGACATGCTAACCACTACACTTTCTGAGCTGCCTTACATACATAACCTACAGAAACATCTATAAAGGCTCATTCCATCAAGTATCAGCTCTCAAACTGCTTCTTTCTTCCATTGTTCATGTCAAGTGGACATAACAACCAAATCAACTGCTGTAAGGTTGCGTTTTGAGACTTTCTGAGCTAACGTAAGGTTGTATTATGGCATTCTGAGCTGACTAGCAGACATCAAGGTACAGTATCCTTAAGGCGCCAACTGGCATAGGGACTGCTCCAACATCCGGGTCGCTCGACATATACAACCTGAGTCACAACCGAGCTGGCTTCCATATGTACATAACATTACAGGAAACATTTATAAAAGGCGTCAGGTGTCATAAAGACTGCTTCTTTCCCCGGTGTTGCTGTCAACACGTTTTCCTTTCAGTGTCAGCTGTCAGACTGCTTCCTTTGTCAACTCCCGTTGATGTAACACGCGAGTCCAGTGACGTAAGGTCGCCGTGACACTTTCTGAGCCGACTTGCACACGAAAGGAGTTCTGGCTCTATTTCAGCAGCGACGTCAAACACTACAAATAAATGCATACATACATAAATAAATAAATAAATAAAGAGGCTGATTTGGGCAAAATCATTTGTGGAATTTGGCGCCAAAATTATTCTTCGGTTCCCGATCGTAGCGGCGGCTTCCTTGGTATTTACCAGCATGGATTAGGGATCGACAAACAAACATTCACTCACACACACACACACACACACGAAAGAAACTCGATTACCTTCCAACAGCACCAGCGTGTGGACAAAGTGATCTGATCAGGCTGATTTACAGCCAGGACCTTCTTTCACTTCAGCACTTCCTTCCTCATTAGTGGCCTGTTAATGCTCGTGATACAGGACATGCAGGGCCTCTTTCAGCTCAATGTTGGTCTAAAGTCCTACTTTCCGAAAAAAAAAAAAGGCTTAACTGTAATTACATTGGTCCCTAATTAGGAGGGAGTTCACTGCTGCGGTGGCAACGCAGCCGTTTCCAAGAGCGTGGACTTTTGAGCTTTCATTTGAAAGGATTTCGTTCTAGGAGAAAAGCCGTACTTGCTGTATTTCTCAACCCCCCACATCGCCATACCACCCCACCCCACCCCACCCCAGGTGTTTCGTGTTGGGGCTCTACTAAAAGAAACCGTTCAGCATCATTCGCAAAAAACAGCTAGCATAAATCGTCCACGAGGTGCCGCGTTTCATTCCGCGGACGTTAGATGGCAGATTTTGCATCTCAGTAAACACTGAATATTCACCTGCGGAGGTCTGAGGCATAATTAGCACTCATAGACGTTAAATATAGTCTGAAAATGGCTACGTTTGAAGGCCGGGTTCAAAGCGGGAGGGTTTTATTAGTATGATTAGCGATTATGGGTAATGATCAGAACGTTGGCAGCGTTTCCTGCACTTGCGTCACAGCCACTGAATCTCGGCTCCGAAAATTAACTCGGCAGGAGACCAATTAGTGTGCGGGGAGAGTTTACGGTTTCAAACATCCCCCCACATTTGTGTGCGTTCACCTGCTGACCTTTCCTCGCATCGGAGAAGTGCGAGAACTTTCCAAATTGGAAGTTAGATCTGGCAGGCTGGGTGACACTGTTGCTGAAAGTGCGCAGCAGAGCAAATCGGTTCGGTGGAGTAATAAAGGCCATCGGTGTAACACGAGGCTCCCGTGACTCATATTCGGTCCCGTAGTCCAGATTATAATGGTGCAGAACCCGGTATAATAGAGGTGTAAAAAAGTGTAGTACGATAAGATTCGATTTTTTTCCCCCCACAAGGCGACATAATATCTACATAAACCCTTCGTTAAAACAAATGAACTAAACCTACATATCTATCCCGGGTTATTCCTTCACGAGTCATAAAGTCAGCTTTTTTTTTTTTTGTTCTTGCTAGATTTGAAGGTGTAATAAAGGCTTATGCAGGACTTATGCAGCCTTATGAACATTAAGCAGTGTTAACGAAATAGTCCAGCTTTCTTCGGTAGCTTGACGCGTTGCCATGGTAACCCTTCTCCTAAGGACGTATCTGAAATAAACGACAAGCACGTCCGCGATCGTTCCGTGCTATAATGCATCCGTGAGGCGTTATACACGGCGTCATAACGGTTTATGAAAATGCGTAGATACTGTATCTTTACGATAGATTATGAAACGTATCTTTAGGATAGATTATGAAACGTTAACATGACATTAGCGTCGTACTACGCAAGCAGCGTTCGTAACAGTTTATAACCACCAAACCCTATTATGACAAGTACATTATGAGATGCTATAATGGTGACATAATGGGTCATAAGCGCTACTCATGTACAGTGTAATGCATTCTTTCATTTCGACGATTTATAAACAGTGCTGCAATCCGTACGGCTTTTCCACAAATAATTACCGCCTTACGAACGCATTATAACATGCGAAGTCATTAGACATACATATGCGCCTCATAGAAAGTGTATTAGTTAGTAAAAAGTGAGACGTTCTGGAAGTTTCTCAA